GACAGATTTGATGAAATGGAAGTGGCTTACCGGAAGTCTCTTCCTCGCAAGTATCCCCCTTACCCCGTTCCCCTCACCTACAGTTCCCTACACACTTCCCCTCACCCCACCATGTATCTGCCAACCGTGCCGCACTACTCTCCTGCACACCTCTGTCCACCATTCCCCTTTACACTCCCAAGCAATTAATTAATTTTCAAACCAATTGTAATTTTATTTTTCGACAATAATTTTTATTTGACTTTGAATTTTTTTCTTTTACAATTCTAAAAAAAAAAAAAAAAAAAAAACTCTTTCTAATAAAGATATTTGAGCCCTCGACCTCCTGCAGAATAGTCGGGTACCTTACCCACTCTGCTACGAGGGCTGCTGACTATAGAAACTCGGTTTCTTGTACTTATCGTATGGTTCGTAACTATAATATTCCATTTTTATATGTATTCACTGAGAATACATTCAATTAATGATAAATTATGCATTTGTTTTCTAAGTAATGAATCTAAAAAAACAAAAACCTAATTAGCATAAATATGGTTATGTAAATTAAATAGAATAAGGCGCGTTATTACGCATTAAATATTAGTATTTTATGCGTTTGATAAATAAAATACCGACCAATTTTTTTTACATAAGCCTTTTTTGCATAAAAAAATGCTAATAATTACTGTTATAAATAATATAAACATAAAATGAAATGAAATTAAAAAAAGACATGAATACAATGGAATGAAAAAAAATGAAATAAAAAAGGGAATGAAAAAAAAAAGAATAAATAGAAAAAAAAATGAAATAAAGGAAATACAAAAAAATGAAAAAAAAAAAAGTAATAAAATGAAATATGAAAAACTAATGAAGTGAAATATGAAAAAGAAAAAAATATATGTATATAAAAAAAAAAGAAGAAAATAAAAAAAAATTAATGAAATGAAGTATGAAAAAATAACGAAATAAAATATAAAGAAACAATGAAATGAAATATGTTAAAAAATAAGACAAGAAATTAAAAAAAAATAAAACAAGAAATTAAAAAAAAACGAATTAAAAGAAACAAACCAGGGGGTATAAATAGGTCATAGGACCCACGGTAAGAACGAAGTTTTTTAAACATGACATGAGTATAAAGACACACAATTTCTCAGGTAACAAGGAGGTCGCCAGACCCATAGAAAGAACGGAGCTCTATAAAAATAAGTACTGCATTAATGTAGTTCACTGAAACAAAAACTTGAAAAACGAATCAAAAAAATAAGAAAATTTAGTTAAGTACTCATGACAGTTAAACTTCGTGAGTACGTCATGCATAAATACAGTACTGCGTACCACTTCTTCTGCTGTAGAGCCCTCCACCGTTCAAAGCTACCTTAGCCTGACCTATTTCACTGACAAAACATCTGGCACTCCAGGCCAGGTCGAAATTTTTATCGGTGCCGACGTATTTTAGCTAGGGGAGCTACTGTCTCAATCTATCGTTTTTGGTTGAGTCTTCACTGGACGGGCTTAAAATGATACTGCACGCTCATCTTCGACTTCGGATTTCACTACTCAGAAAGAGGAAGCCCCATCCTGGTAATATAAATTAGTATCCCTCGTCCAACGATTCTGGGAGCTTGAAGATATGCCATACACTCTCTGATTATCTCCTGAGGCTAGAGAGTGTAAGGAGATATTCGCTCAGTACCAGCGCGCCAGGGATTGTCGATACATTCTTCGACTACCTCTGAAGCAAGAGGACCTGGATCTTTTGGACAATAGCCTGTCCAGTGCATTCACTTCTTTACAGCAGTTAAATCAACGCTTGAGACGTGACCCAGAGATGGCTACCGAGTATAAGCGCTTTATGGAGGAGTACTTGACGTGCGTGCATATGTGTATTTTGACCGACGTGAAACTCCAGGACACTTCCGGCCCTATCAACTACATTCCTCACTATGGTATCTAGCAGTCTGGGGATCAGCGGAAAAAGATTCGTGTAGTGTTTAATGCGTCTCAACCCACCTGGCCTAGAAACAGCTTCAACGATTCACTACACACCGGTCCACAACTACAGGCAGCAGTTCCTAGTTTACTGCTACGGTAGAGAATGCATCGATTCATCTTCTGCACTGATATACGCATGATGTTTCGGCAGATTTGAATCGACGAGAGAGACGCAGAACTCCAACGCATCGTGGGGAGCAGCGACGAGACCGTCACACTTCAGCACTAACGACTGATGACTGTAACCTACAGAACATCGTGTGCACCATATCTGTCGCTATGTGCTATCCAACAGCTGTGCGAGGATGAGGGTAGGTCATGTCCAGAAGCCGTCACGATTATTATGAAAGACCGATACGCTGATAATATCCTGCCAGGAGCCGATGATGTCGTTACTGTCCAAATTGGCCGTGACCAGATCATCAGTCACTTGCAAAGCGGTGGGTTGCCTCTTAAAATGTGGGTGGCAAATGCTCCAGAGCTTCTGAGCGACCTTCCTGATTATTGCCTTCTCCGAAAGACGTGGTAACAGCTCGGTACCTATGGCCTTGTCAATGAACTTGAAGTCAGTTGAGATCCGGTCGATTTCAATCATACCACCAGCACCTCGAGCAAAGCTAACCATGAAACGTTCGATCCTCACCGAGCTCGCGCAGCTATTTGATCCATGCAGTTGGCTTGATCCAATTGTCTTGGTCGTTAAGTTATTAATCCAGGACCTTTGGCGAGCTCAACTGGGATGAACCTGCATCAGTTTCCATGGCTCATAGAATATCTGTATTCTTATCTTAACTCCAAAACGTTGGAGGCATAGCGATTCCACATTGGATTGTCAATCAGCCGTCAACCCGATTACAGTTGCATGCATTCGCTGACGCCAGTCGCCGCGCCATGGCCGCTGTCATCTACTAGTGGGTTCAGACTAATTCTGGGGATATTCGCGTCTGTTTACTACTAGATAAATTCTCTGAACTGACTCCTTCGGTTTCTTGCTTGCATTCGACGATGGATCAGATTACGCCTTGAGCGAGGCTCAGACATGGCCGTTCTTGCCCCTCTAAAAGTGACTAAGTACAATGAGTCATACCTCGCATGCGTCCGCCTTAGCCAACGCCAGACTTTTTAAACTAAGATTAAATGCCTACAAGCTGGCTTTCCACTCCCCCCCTCAACTAATCACTGACGCCGTTAGCTCCGTTCCTCTGAGCTGATGGAGTTCTTCGTGTAGGAGGTCGCCTGCAGAGATCATGTTTAAGTTACGACGACCAGCACCCATCGAGTCTAAACCATACCTGCGCTGTAGCCCGCCTCGTAGTCTCATGGGCACACCAGTGTTCACTTTATGAAGAATTACAGGTAACAAGCGGATTTCGTCGCCAAACGGGCCTGGACCATCGACAGCTCTCGTCTCGTCAAAGCTCATCAACGACAATTTCCTATCTGCGTGAGATGCCATGCCCAAGGAGCCACCCAACTCATGGTCCCATTACCAGCTACTAGCTTTCTCTCACGTGGGTGTTGACTACGCTGAACCCTTCAACGTGATAGCCGCCAAAGGACGTGGCATGGAATCGAGGAAATGATACATTGCTGTCTTTTAATGCATGGGTACAAAAGCGCTTCACCTGGAGCCCATTAACGATCTCATTCCTGGAAGCGCTCACTCAATTCTGTAGCCACCATGGTTGACCTGTTAAGATATCGAGCGGCAATGACACTTATTTTGCGGTGTAGACCGCGAACTGTGCGAAGCGCTCTAACAGGCACAAATACGCTAGGACCTTACGATCGGCCGTTTTGCCAAACAAATAATCACGTGGAACTTCATTCTCCCCTCTCTATGCTTCAGATTTTGAAGGATTCTGGGAATCTGAAGTAAAATCGGTCAAAGGTAATCTTCGATGTACTATCGGCTCTAGAAAACTAACGTTTAAAGAACTTTCCACTGTCCTGGCCAGCATCAAGATTGTACTCAATGATCGGCCACATATTTCTTTAACTGGCACCACTGATGATCTCAAAGTCCTCACCCCTGGTCACTTTCTTGTCGGAGGCTCTTTCTATTCTATGATCGCCTCTCACGGCTCAAGCATTACCACTGCCCCGACAGTAGATGGCAGCAGCATACATACACTGTGAAGATAGTGTGCTTTCAGAAGTCAAGAAGCAAAAGAAGGTGTTCTCTTATTTTGCGTCAAGGAGGAAGAAGCTCTCTGCCTGGTGTTTATAAATATTATTCATTTCTCAGCTCTGTACAATCCATTAATAAATACGCTTAATTGAACAGGGGACAACCGAATGTGGATCGAACTCTTCAATATAGGTCTTCAGGTTGAAGTCTTCAGCCGATGATGTTAGCCACTATCTTTTGTAGTACAGGATATAATTATTGCACTTATTAGCTGCAAGCAACTGTGTAAAGCAAGCGTGATTGTTTTTTTTGCAAAGTGACAACGGAATTTAACAATTTAATATGTAGAAGTTTATCATCCTCCAAAATTTCTTTCGGAGTTAGTCCACTCTGACCTTAGATACATGTATAATATTTTTGGTTTGTCAAACCATTTTTTCGTTCTCGATGATATTAAATACTATATACATTTTTCGCTTAAAAACACTCTCTGTTAGAGCTCTTGAGTTGTTTTTATAAATTTAATGTTACACAATATACTGTAATTTAATTATGCGGTGTATAAAATTCAAAATTATTAAATTTTCTTTGATTCCTCGTTGAATTGACGACCGTCCTTAAAAGAAAGACCTACTATCATATGATTTAGGTTTTGGTACTGGCCATTTTCTAAAGATTTTTGATTTTTTCTTCACTTCGAATAATTGTACTAAGCCTTGATAATACTTATTTATTTGGATATTTTATGTTTTACTGGGTTTTCCATTTTATACTATTAATGAAAACAAACTGTAGCCTGTAGTAGCCTAACGTCGAAAGGATAAAAGAAATAAATTTATTTTCAACTTATAATATCTGATTTTAAAATTGAAATGTTTTTATTACTTTTTAGATCAAAAATAGTTGACGATGGATACAGACAATTATCGATTTTATCGCCCGAAGAGCTGAAAAGTGTTATAAGAGTGCGTTTTATAAATGAACAAGGCTTAGATGAAGCTGGTATCGATCAAGATGGTGTATTTAAAGAGTTTTTGGAAGAAACTATCAAACAAATTTTTAATCCATCCCTTAATTTGTTCAAGGTTACTTGCGAAAATAGACTATATCCATCATCTTCTTCGTTTCTACAAGATAATCATTTGTTGTTGTTTGAGTTCATAGGACGTCTCCTTGGGAAAGCAGTTTATGAAGTAATTTTATTCTATTAAAAAAAAACTTTTTTACTTGTAAAACAATTTCTTAAGAAAGTTAAAAAATCCAAGTAAGTATGTTTTAATGTATATGTATGTATTTCTTTATTACAGGGAATTGTAGTTGATATCCCCTTTGCATCATTTTTTGTCTCTCAATTTTGTGGCCTATCAGTTGGAGCTTTATACAGTCATCTTGATGAATTAGCATCACTTGATAATGATCTTTATCGGAGTTTAACATTACTGAAGCATTATGAAGGAGATATAACTGATTTAGAACTAACTTTTTCTTTTGAAGAAAATGTCATGGGAAAATTAGTTAATCATGAACTGAGACCCGGTGGTAGGGTAGTTACAGTTACGAATGACAACAAGATACATTATATACATTTGATCGCTCAATTTCGCATGTACATGCAGATTAAAGATCAAATTGCAGCATTTACTAAGGGATTTAGGTCAATTATAAAACCTAACTGGCTCTCTTTATTTTCTTCTCCCGAGGTTTCAATTATTTTTATTTAAAATTTTTCTAGTTATGTTTTTCTATTATTTAAAAAGTTTCTATGCTTTTTAGTGGCAAAGGCTGATTTCAGGAGATAATGTTCCCTTAGACTTACGAGATTTACGAAAACATACTCAATACTATGGAGGATTCCATGACAAACATCGAGTTATTTGTTGGCTTTGGGATATTCTAGACAAAGATTTTTCTGAAAAAGAAAAAGGGCTTTTCTTAAAAGTAGGTAACTTAATATATACTAAGTGACATAAATTTTTAAAGAAACTTTTTTTCAGTTTGTTACGAGTTGTTCTAAGTCTCCACTTCTGGGTTTTGCTTATTTAGAGCCACCGTTTTCTATAAGGTGTATAGAAGTTGCTGATGACGAAGATACAGGAGATACTATTGGTAAGATTTATTAGTATTCTACTCATAACAGTCACAGCAAATACACCGACTGACGTAGACTCAATGAAATCTAAGTAAAACATATAAAAGAATGATGATCTAGTATTTTCACATTATTTAAAAAAAAACATAATAACATTACAGTATTATTTAGTAACAAAATAAAATGTTTATTTTAGCTGTTTCTCCTTGGCTAATACGATAATAACATAAGGAGTATAACAATGGAGCCACTTTGTACTAATAAAATCACCAGACACAGTAAATATCGGAATGCTTCATTCTAAATTCAGAAAGTTGCTTGTAACGAATAGAGAATAGCGTAAAAATGACGGATTAATATGGATATTTAAAATGATTATGTTATTAATATGGATTTATGAGCAATAGACAGGGTGATGGTCCTCAGCAATCCCGAGACCTTTTTAAGACTCGAAGAGATTGGCATCTCTAGCAAATGGTAATGAGCTTGCTCGTTAAAGCTGCGAAACGCGATGGTCTCCCTGGTGGCTCCACCCTGAAGTAATGCTAACAAGGTTTCAGGGTGGAACAAAAGCCACACGGCATGGGAAGGGCTTTACTGGATATGGGTGGTCTAATAAAAAAAATCAGCCGAGTCTCATATTACCACTGTCCTTGCAGTGTGCCTTAATGCATTTAACCTCTCTCTACGAGAAAAAAAAACTACTAATGATACTACTACTACTACTACTATAACTTTTGTTTTGTGGAGGAAGAAAAAATGCATTATGGCACACTGCAGGGACAGCGGTAGTGTGAAACTTGGTGAATTTTTTTCATTAGACCACCCATACCCACTAAACCCCCCCTCATGCCGCGTGGCTTTTGATGACCCCGCAACTGCGTTAGCATTACTTCAGGGTGGAGCCACCAGGGAGACCATCGCATCTCACAGCATTAACGAGATAACTCGCCACCATTTGCTAGAGGTACCAGTCCTCCCAAGTCCTGAAAAGGACTTGGGGTCCCAGAGGATTGGCACCCATTTTCTAGCGTTACAACATTTGCTGCTTTGTCATGTGGCCGCCCAAAGGGCAGCCTCGGCTTCCCGCGCGGCGGCTTTCTTCTCTTCCTTCTTGCGACGGACCACTGACCCAACGTAACAGTCCACCGCCCTCCATCTCTCTTCGGTGCGAAGCATCTCAGAAATGATGTTTTCGGGAGTGGGTGTCACACCAAGCTTGTCCACTATTTTCTGGTGCTCACGGTGGCATCTCTCGTACACGAAATTCCCAGGAATTTCCTTCGCTGCTCCAGCGCAAGCAACAAGACAGTAATCGTTCGTGCTATCATCATAACAGCAACAGAGAAAACCGTGCGGTAAGCGGAAGCGATCCTTAGAGATTTAATGCGCTGCACCGAAATGAGGCACTCTCGGACGTTCCGTCTCGCAACCGCTTCCACCCACACCTCCGTGCCGTACAGCAGTATCGAGTTGGAGACCGACGCCAGAAGCCGGCTTTTGGCCTCTCGCGTGCCCCCAACGTTCAGCATTAACCGTGTTAGCGCGCCTGCAACCTTGGCGGTTTTGTCGTCTGCTCCCTTGATGTGCTCTCAGAAGGTGAGCCATGAGTCGACCCACACCCCCAGGTAGTGCACAACCGTGCTTGCGCATATTACCTTACCCGCAACGTTTAGGCGAAAGTCCCCCCCGAACCACCGTTGCCTAGTAAGGACGACCGTCTCCGTCTTGTAGATCGCAAGTTCAAAACCGTGATCCCGCAGCCACACTGACACTATCGCGATCGCCCAACGAATCTTGCGCTCGGCCTCCTCTCGGGATCTCGCCGTGACGTGCAGTGCTATGTCATTAGCAAAACCCGTCTGCTTGACCCCCAGAGGTATTTCAAGGCGCAAAAGTTCATTGTAGACCAGGTTCCATAAGTCAGGGCCAAGGGTGGAGCCCTGTGCGACTCCCGACGTCAGGCACCTTTCGCTTGGTGCATCCTTCGTGTCGTACCGGAGTACACGATCCTGAAGACAGCTATCCAGTATCTTTCTAAGGGACTCCGGTACATTCTGGCTCCTCAATGCCCTCATTATGTCGGACCATTTGGCCGATTTGAAAGCATTTCTAATGTCAAGAGTCACCAGGACACAGGCACTTCTTGTCTTATGTGAGGATTTCCATGCCTCCCTAACCGACTCAAGGACCTTAGCCACAGCCATGACCGTCGATCGTCCCCCTCGAAACCCGTACTGATTATCCGAGAGGCTGACTTCCCCTTTTAGACGAGTTTGTATCAGCCTCTCGAGCATTTTCCCGGCATTATTCAGCATGCACAAAGGTCGGAACGATGACGGGACCAAGGGGAGTGGTTTACCCTTGTCCAAAAGGACAAGCCTTTGGTTTTTATACCGCTTGCTGAGCAGTCCGTTGCGAAAAAAAGCATTAAACATGTCCTGCAACACGTTTGATTTTCCCATGGCTATGACCTTGAGGACTTCGGATTTCTCCCCGTCCGGATCCGGGGCCCTGCGGCCTGGCGTCTCTGATACCACTGACCTCAATTTATCAAGGGTTAAGAGAGGCACCTCGCCCACACTTATGTCCTCTCGCCTTTTCTCGGGATGCTCCAGAAAGAGACAAGAGATCACCCTCTCCAAGAAGAGAGGCTCCATCGGCACCACTGGGTCCGAGCCGCGCAGTCTTTTTAGCGCGATTCGGTAGCCCAGGCCCCACATTTCTTCATCTACATCAGCGATAAGTTCGCGCCAGCATCGGTTCTTGCTCATCTTGATCTCCTACACCAGGGTACTTTTCTCTTCTCTGTACGCGGCAACAGCTACCACTGCGTCTTCACGATTTTTGTGTCGCTGTGCAAGACGGCGTAGGCGCTGCGCCTTTTTGCGCAAGTTGGCAATTTTTTCGGTCCACCAGTAGCACGAGTGCCGGCCTGGCCTGGCGGTTCTTCTGGGCAGACACGTGTCACACAACTCCTTAACACGTCTCATGGAATCCCCTACAAGAGTTTGGACTTCTGCTGAATTGGTGATCTTGGATAAATCGGCAGGAGGGGGCGCGTTTGCCATGGCTTTTCGCAAAAAATCTTGATTGATCTTTGCCACGTTTAACCCGGCTGTGTGCCCTCAAGGCACTCCTCGTAAGTTAGCACAATGTTCCTCATTAATTATGAATCTGACATATTGGTTATAACTAGCCATAATTTTCTCCAGAACCTGCCAGTTAGACACCTGCGCCGCCATTTGTGACGACGCTAGTGAAATGGTCGATGGTTGTGCCTCGGTTTTCGGTTCGCCTGAACGTTGCTAAACTACCAGAGCTTATGACCATGAGATCTAGCCTAGCAGCCATCTCTAGCACCGCCCGCCTCCTGAAGTCGGTTCTCGGCTCTCCACAAGTGATGGCCTTGGAGTTGAAGTTGCCGGCCAGGACTATGTCGTCATTCTCCCCGCATACATGAATAGCATCTTCGAGCTCGACAAGCTGCTCTCTAAAAACGCTGATCGATATGTTAGGGGAAATGTAGCAGCTCACATAGAATACCCTTCCACTCCTGATCCACATGAAACCGTCCCCACTTTCGGAGTCGGATACGGGGAACCTGTCTCTTTGAATAAGGATGGCCGCGCATCCAGTCCTGTCGCACTACCAGCCCTGACCTGGTAACGCGCGAGACGGCTTATTAGCACGGTCCTATCAAGGTTTACTTGCAGGATCACCGCCATTTTCGCTGAGCTGCTCCTGCAGACGCCTGAGGCGCTTGAAACCCGGCAGTCCCAGCGACGTGTCTGATGTCTGATTTGGGACCACACTCTTGCACAGGAAACAGCTCACTTCTTTTTTGGAGCAGTCTCGTGCCATGTGGCCCCTGTCACCACACCTCCAGCACGCCCTGGTCCTGTCAGGTCCACTACACTGCCTAGCAATATGTCTGAAACCCAGGAACCTGAAGCAGCGCTTAACTGTTGGCCTCGGGCGCATCCTGCAGTTTACCCAACCTAGCTTTATGTGGTCTCTCTTATCAAGAATAGGAGCCGCCGTCGCAGGTGCCTCGACGTAGGCTATGCGGTACCCTCTGTTGATCCCAGGGGATAGCCGCACAGCCATTTCAGGGGCTGTGCCCTCGTTGAAGCAGCCCCTTATTGACGCCTCAACGTCCTCCCTGGTCACCGTTGGATCGACTTCCCTGATCTCCCAGGTCAGGCTCGGGGCAAGGGTTTTTACACCGCCCGCGCCCGCAACAGCACTCTTTAGTGCCTCGGCGAACACATCGTGGCGCTCAGGTGCAGTGTTCCTCAGTTCAACGAGGACACCTCCTGCTCTTGTCTCTCTGACAGACCCCACGTCCGCCCCGAGCCAGGCCACGTCGACCGTTTTTATCAGGGCCAGGACGTCGGCATACTTTTTGCCTTCAGCTGGCATAACCAAAATCGCCTTGGGCCTGATCCTGCGGCGCTTCTTCTCGGCAAATTTAGGGAGCAGAGGTAGCCCCTCACCCCCAAGGGGCTTAATCCCCTCAGCCTTCCCTTTTTTCTTTCTTACCTTTTGTTTAACCTTCGTCCACTCAGACTGTTTAGCTAGGTCATCAGCCGCACCACCTTCTGTGTACGGCTGAGGTCCAGACCCCTTTACCTTTTTTGGGGCCTTTTCCGGCGTCTGTTTTGGACTTAGGGTCTCTCCCCCTCGTCCTCACTTTCTCTTTGATCCTTTTGTGTTTTCCTCTGTGTGCCACTTAAGGGCAGCTCGTCCATTTCCACGGTTCTTGCCTGAAAACGCTTGAGAACGCCTATAGCAGACACCGTCAGCACAAAGCTCGCCTTTATGGTGCACGCCGTGTTGGGGTGCTTCCACCATAAGCGCTCTCAGCTGCTCCATTGCCTTCACGAGGTCGTCAAATGCTGCATCTGCAGCCATGTCCGACTCTGCCCCATGGTCCAGCTTCTCCACTCCGTTTTGGACAGGGAATTCCCTTCCGTCACTTACTCCGTTTGCTACTTCCTTGGTTGAGATTATGTGGGCCATATCTGAAACATACAAGCTTCATCTCAAGGTTCCCACTGACCCATCTGAATCCCTCAGCTGGTGGAGGCTGCCATCCACTCCCAACACATGCCTGAAGGGTGGTTTCAGAGCAGGTGGGTAACCTCGGGACATGGCACGCCCTACCAGCAAGCCCACCTCCACTCCCTCAAGCATCAAGCCCCAACCAAAAAGCGATCTACTCTCTGGAGAGTTTCCGGCAGA